TTTTTTTGCCAGTATAACCTGTAACCTCAAAAAAAATGAAGTTGTGTAGCTGCAAATACCTTTGTTAAAATGTTAACATGAGAGCATACAAAGCCAGTTGGGAAGAAATCAAATGTAATATATACCTTTTATATGTCAACTGCTATTGGGAAATACCGTTACTGGTTGGTTAACACACTAATTTATTTTCATGTAAGCTTATATAAATATTATGGATTGAACACAAAAAAATATGTTGAAAAACTTCTTCTGCATCCACAGGTGAATCCGAAAGATCTGGACTCAAAGTACGCCTATATCCAGGTAACTCACGTCACGCCCTACCTCGACGAAAAGGAGCTGGAGGACAGGAGGACAGACTTTGAGAAGAGTCACAACATCTGGCGCTTTGTGTTTGAAACACCGTTCACAATGTCAGGCAAAAAGCAGGGCGGGGTGGAAGAGCAATGTAAACGGCGGACTGTTCTCACCAGTATGTCATACAATCATGGAAACTATTTGTAAATGTAGAGTAGATTAACCAAAGTTTAATTATATCTTCCTGATTGTCAGCTGTTATTGTTGATTACAATCGCCTGTGTCTCACTTTAGTGCAAATCACTTAAAAAATTATGTAGATGAATTTAGTTCTGTTTCATTAGTGTACCAGTAAGTTCAGCTCTTACTGTGCCTTATTAATAATTATGCTAACCGACTTGGCTATAGCGGAGACTCCGCTGTGGCCATTTACAGTGTTTAATATCCTGGTTACCAGCATTACTGCGGAATCTACTGTTCCTGTGTTCAAATCACATTTGTATGTTGCTGCTAAAAACAGATATTTTTTCTCTTCCAATCCTATGTTCACTCAGCCACCCACTGTTTCCCATACGTAAAGAAGCGTATAGCAGTCATGTACCAACACCAAACTGACCTGAGCCCCATAGAAGTGGCCATAGATGAGATGAGTGCCAAGGTGAATGAGTTGCGACAGCTGTGCTCGGCCTCTGAAGTGGACATGATACGCCTGCAGCTCAAGCTCCAAGGCAGCATCAGTGTTCAGGTAGAGTCAAAATCACAAGGTTATAATCATTTTTACTTTATCATTAATTATTTTATTCCTTTAATCTAGAATTAACAGTCTTTGATTTTGATTTTTCAGGTAAATGCTGGTCCTCTTGCTTATGCCAGAGCCTTCCTAGACAGCAGCAGTGCCAAGAAATATCCAGACAACAAAGTCAAACAGCTCAAAGAGGTCTTTAGGTACTCACAGAAAACCTTCTTCCCACACACTATAACATGCCCAATATTACTATGATTACATTGTGCCTTAGTGAGCTTGGCCACAGAGGTTGGATGCTCGTCTTTCTGTATTGCATATTACTATTTTGCGCTTGTTGCTTTGCTTTGAGTTTTTTCATGCCTCTCTTTTCAGGCAGTTTGTGGACGCCTGCGGTCAAGCGCTTAGCGTTAATGAGCGGCTGATTAAAGAAGACCAGCAAGAGTATCATGATGAGATGAAAGCCAACTACAGGAATCTGACGAGGGAGCTGTCGAACATCATGCACGAACAGGTGGAAACACTGAAGAATGATGAATAATCACAGCATGTGATGGCTCTGAGATACCTCATAACTGCTAAATATTTTATTTATAAAGTTTTGTTCCGTGTGAAGAATCAAGTTGCACCTGGTCTGTCAGATTTTACTTGTATTCACATCTGCACGCTTCATCTACACTTATCTACACATATATTTTGTTATGAGGGTGTTTGTCAATGTGTAATTTTATATTTAATTGCATGACAAAAAGTGCTGTCCTGTGCTGCAGTTCTTTTACTCTAACCTTTACTAACCATGTTTCCTATCTCCTTTATTTATGCTGTCCTGAGCAGCTTGTATGGTAATAATGATTGTGTCATTGAATAAAGTAACTATTTACACTGTAAAAGATTTATAGACAGCAACTGACTAACAGCTTCATGGACATAGTATTTGCACCCAATTCTGCCTTCCCAAAGATGAAATGTAATGCCCTCTTGAATCAGCTTCATGTGTAGCCTGATATTTATGATTTTCCATGGATTAAGGAAAATTTTAAAAGACCATTCCTCACTAATTCCATCCCCCACCTCCTTTTAAACATAAAACAAACCAAACAGTATATTTTAAGCTTCCTAACAGTCCATTTCTTCCAGATAAACCCAGTGGATGATGGTCCAAGGAGCAATCTGTCTGCTTCTATGGGCATCTTCAACACCATCACTGGCACACCAACCAGTGCCAACCTACAGTACATGGCTCGACCACCATATTCTGACAGAGATATTTGACATCAAAATTGCTGCTCCATCACTACTAATGACTGTTCAAACTACCTGAAGGATCAGCTGAAAACCTTCAAAGAATGTAACACTACCTAAAAACATAATTTGTTACCGTTTTTCCTCCTATTTTATCTGATTTCAAAATTTTCCAGGTCATAACCTGAAAAATCAATTCAATGTTATTCTGTTTTATTTATATAGCGCCAAATCACTACAAGGTGCTTTATATTGTAAAGCAGAGACCATAAAATAATACAGAGGAAAAACCCAACCCCACTGAGCAAACACTTGGTGACAGTGGGAAGGAAAAACCTCTGACAAAACCAAGCTCAGGGAGGGGCACCCACCTGCTGCGACCATAAAGTGAAGTCACGTGTGCCCCCCATTATTCTTGTTTCCTATGGAGACTCCATTAAATACAGATGGTTTTCAAACCTTTACAACAATTGTAATATCATCATCTGTCTACATTTTCATGTGTTGTTTATTCTTTTCTGTGTTCTAAGAGGGTTAAACCACATGTAACTTAACAAGCATGTATTAGTACTTCAGTTTACAACATGGTCTTATCTTGTTCTTCTGTCCAGAGCCCAACCCAAAGGATACTATCATGGGGTTAAAACTACAGACAAGGAAGTTAAGTGTTTTTGTATTTGACTACTTGATCTGTTTTTAACTGTGGGGATCTCATTCACATAGTGTGTTTGTAAAAGAGTGTTTAAGACAGTGAGCCATCAGTGCCGCTGTAACCATTCATACATTCCTATGGTGCACAGTATTCTTTCTTCATTTTCCCCCCATGTCTAGCTATAGCAGGAGCTTTTTTTGTAAAGTGCAGAAGCATCAGAGTTTATCTTTGATCTTTTCAAAGAATTATTCACTCTATTTTAGGCCATTGGGCATTTATAGAAACTATTTATAAAGCCAGATGAACCAAAATGTTTTAACCTATTTTCTGTAACAACATTATGTGCAATATTTTTTTTTACAGTTACCAAGTCTATCCCCTCTTGCCAAAGACATGAGAGAAAAAGACAATGCAATGCAAGCCAAGAGTGTAACAATTTGTAAGCTACCCCTTTGTTTCTTTGTCATGACGCCTTTTATTATCTGTGAATTCAAATTTAAAAAGAAACACAAGACTTTTACTAGATGATGATTCATCCATTCATTCATATGTTTAAGACAAATAAATAAAACATGTAATAATAATAATGCCTACTTCCTTGCTTTGCCTTTAATTGTTTTTTTATTGTATGAAAAACAGATCAGTGCTGAAATACCACACTCCTGTATCTGCAGCATATCAAATTTCATCAAAGTTTACAGCTGTTAAGAAAATAATTACCTAAATAATTCCATCTGTATCTGATGTGATGACTTAGCACCAGTGTTGCTGGAACTCTTTTGCTGTCTGATTGCAAAGGTCACATCTGAGATATTTGCCAACAAGATGTTAAGGCTGTCACAACCTGTGTTTTGTCCTATCATGACTATTACTGAATAAAGAAGCAAAAAATGCAACAATGGTTCAACTTTATTCTAGACACA